ATCCTGTCTGGATGAAATATGAAAGCTGAAATGTGTCCAAATGTATAGAGGAGCACAAACAAAACAGGGTCCGCTGTGTGTTTAAGCAGCAGGCAGCATCCAAAGGCTGATATGATTTAGATGAACAGATAGAGACGGAGAATGGGAGATGGAAAGATGGATGTGGAGAGATAAGGGAAGCAATGCAGTGCTCTGCAACAACACGTTAAGCTAACACAGACAACCCAGTTTTGTTTTCCCACGGGATATACGATAGGTCCCAGTGAAAGACACACATACACACACACACACACACACAAAAATATAGTCAAAAACAGAGATCCCATCTGCCCCGGCGCCTTAATCAGCTTATCACTCCCTGCACTGAGGCTGTTCAGAAGCACTATATCAAGCTTTGACATACATTAGTGGTACTACTGGGATCAAGCAATATACTGTTCCCAACCCAGCACCCCGTCACACACACACACACACACACACACACACTTCTGGAGCCAACATTCCTAACATGCACACATATTCGGACATGCATGCAAAGAAAACACACGTTTTCATCTCAAAAAGATTGGAAACATCCTCTGCATGTAAGCACCATAAAAATCATTAAACACACACACACACACACAGAATCAGAGCCGAGGACTTACTGCTTAGAAAATCAACACAAACAAGACCCAGACACGCAACAGAGCATGCAGGCAAATACAAACTGTGTGTGTTTGTATTCTGACAGAACGCCAAAGCCCAGCTGATCTCTCAGTAAATATGGACATATGGTCAGCCTCTGTGGGGAGAGACAGAGACACAGAGAGAGAGAGGATGACACTGAGTTGGTTCTTGGCGTGTTTCTCTTTGTCTGTCCACAGGGAGACCGCAGCGGGCGGCGACATCTTATCCTCCCGGGACATGTGTTCCTTTCCCAAAGCTTAAGCGTTTAGCCTTTTTGACTCTTCATGTCACCGCGGGGAGCAGGTCAGAGGTGACCAGTGGTTATGTAATGATGAGACTGTTACGGGATGAAAACAGGGGAGCTGTTATGCCAGACGGACCACAGTTAGTTATGTAAGTTCCACAGAGAGCCTTGAAGAAGCGATAAGAAATGCGTCCATCATGTAGCGAGTTGGTCAAAACAAAAATCCTGGGAGCTACAGTCAATCTGTCTAACTCTTCATATCTGCGTTAAAACCTGTGATTTCTGCTTTTCTGCATCAGGAACTGTGTATGTATTGAACTGCTTGGCCTGTTGCGCTAACAAGCACTATTTCAATAACACTGTCTCTGCCAGTACCGCCGGCTAATGTTATCACTTCTTAAAGGTAAAACATTCATGGACCAAATTCAGTTATATAAGTCCCACTAAAAATAAGACCTGAAGCAGCAACAAAGCAGTTGGGACCATTGACTGTATATGGTTGGGACAAACCACAAAAACAGTCATGCTGACATTGATTGCACGAGATTGCATTTTGGCCAATGCATTCAACCTCATTTGCCCTCCACACGCACTGCATGTGATACTACTCGGACTACAATCCGAAACCAGATTGATTCCGATACCAAAATCTTGTCCCTTGCCAACAGATTCTGCACTCATATGCAGATATCTATAGAGATTACTGCTTCATAATGTCATCTGACCTCTTAGCAGTTCGTCTCAAGCGAAGCAGTTTACAGCTTAGCTGCAATAATGCTGCACAGTGCATGGACCTCAATAAGACTTAAGAACTGTCTGTGCACAAAAAAAATACCACAACATTTCGCTGACAAAAACTACATTTTCTTATGCTTTTTGTTGAGTGGAACGAGTCTTGACAAAAAGTAACAACATTTTTGTTAGAGAGACTAAAGCCAGTTACCACTGATGCTGCCATTTCCTGACTGCTCAGAGGAAAAACTACCTCCTGATGTAATTTCAATGCAAATGAATAGAGTCAGTGTATCCTGCCGTGAGTGCAGAGCTGCTAAGCTCACTTATTGGACATTAAAGCCCCAGAGATGCACAGCTGCTCCAAGAACGGGGTTATTTGCTGCTCTAATCAAAGCTGACATATTACTTCTGGATATGCACAAAATCATTCTCACAGCATCATCTAGTTTCCCCCAATATCTCTCTCTTCTTCCCGGTTTCTACCTCCTTCCACGAACGCCCTCCCTCCTCTTCCATCCTCCTCTTCCATTTCAGAGCCTTTAAACTGCTGTGATCTGTGCTTCTCTCCCCCCTCAGTGTTGCTGGCTGTTAATCGGAGTTGCCTGGGACATCAGGCAGCTGCTGTCATGATGCCCAGCCCCAGGCTCCAGGCAGCAATATTTATCATTTGCAACAACAGCACGCTCCACTCCACCACACGTCTCCAATCCTCTGGCCACCCACATCCTCAGAACCAGTAAATTGTGTGAGCGGTAAATCACAGCCACATTCTGGAGCTTGCGATGATGTCATGATGTGAGGGGACTATGATTTCTGACAAGCGAGGCCACAGCGGAGTGGTCGCCAGCCTGAAGGAGGCACGAGCCACAGTGTAGCGGTCTGAAAGATGTCTATGATTTCATAACTCTTAAGTTCTCAACAGAAGTGGTATAGATACTCAAAGTGTCTGTGAGGGGAAACAAGCACAAGAAGGAAACCTCTGTGGTGCCAGTGAATGGGTAAGGTACTCTACAGGGCCAGGAGTCCCCAGAAGAACGGGTAATATTTTAATTTCACCATTATTTACTTGACCAAATCCCTGAGACTACATGTTATCAAATACAGGTCTGCGGCCTGATGTGTATCAATTTGTGGGTCCTTGACTACCGCTCTAAACCGCTCAAGTCGGTTGAGACGCCATGACGAGTTCTAGTCAGTCTGTGAAAACAGCTGTATGTCTTCCAAGGATGTCTTTGGGCTTTGACACTACAAACAGAAAGCCTGGGATGTGGCATTTAGGGTCTAACAAAATATGCTATCAAGTTGCATTACACCAGGAACTAAAAGTCAGGATATTTCAGCCTCTGCTGCTTCGATTTGAACTATTTTTGTTTTGATCCTTCTATCACACACATTCCAGTGTTACTGAAGTACACTGTGAAAACAACTGGAACTGAAATCCAACAGGGACCAAAAATCACAGCAGGAAAACGTCCAAGGAAACTTTCCTGCAGCATCATCTACTTCAAAAAATGCTACATCTTTAATCTGTCTGAGCTACAAAGTCTACTGGCGGTCATAACACAACTCGTGCAATTATATGTGAGCACCTACATGAGACTACAAGTCCAAGAGTAGAGGTTGTTTGTGTCCACATTTTATAATCTAAATAATGTAGCATTCACATTCTCAGAACACAAAGTAAACAAAAAAAAACATCCGGGGGAGCTCAGTGAAAGTGCTGCATGTAAATTATTTATGCTGAAATTAGATTTGATGGGCCAAACACCTGCCTCTGCTGAACTGGACCCGCACCAAATATCAGATTATAAAGCAAGGACTTGGCAGCGGCACTTCATAAACCCCCAAAACCCTAAAGAAATCAGAGGAGTGGCTATTCACAGCCATATGCTGGAGCCAGGTGGGCCCTGTCACCTTATTTACAGTCAACTTGAAAGACCAGAAAAATAAGAAAAGACAGTGAACAAGAACGTAGTTCAACAATGTTTTATTAATCGTTTAGAATACACCATGGTAAAGCATTTTGGATCTCTCACTTGAAGACTCTTTGGGCATCCAGTGCCGGATTCAACAGCACACTTTTGTTCACCATCGCTGCCGTCATGTTCTCCAGCCCTCTGATCTGATCTCCCTCTGTATGCTGCTCTTCATCTACCTGTGGCAGGCACAGGTACGAACAGGGAAAACCTGGCTGGTGCTCATAACTGAATACCCTGAAAAGTTAAAAAGGAAGTAGATGCAGAGGGTGGAGAACTCGTAAAGGGGAGACACGCGTCCTTCTCGTTCCCACTGCCACAAACAGGAAGTCAAATAAATACACAACAGTATCGCTACCTTTTAGTGCTCCAGCTCACAGAGCAGCAGGGCACATGTAGCAGTCCTGTTTATAACATTCACACATAGCATGTGACTGGTGCCTGTGTTTGCATGTATGTTTAAATGTGATCCTACATTTACTGTAATTGTAGTAGATACGATCAGATTGCACTTAAGAGCAAAGATTGAATTGTACACAAAAGTATTAAAAAATACATTAAGTTACATTTTCCAAATAAATATTGGTCCATTTCCGTTAGTATGCCGAGTACATCTTCCTGAGACACTTTCAGAACCACACACATAGTTATACACCAGATATCTTTTTTCTATCCATGAGTATACTCTTTTCTGTCGTCCTTTTGCCCATCCTTTGATTTTCTCTCTGGAGGCAAAATAACTTTTTCATGCTACACTTACTTCAACCATCCACTTATGAGATCATCCCTTATCAAATGACTTGCTCTCTCATCCGTGCCAAGACATACATAGTAAACAGATTTATTCTCTGCACCAGTGCAGCGTAATCCAAGACATGAGACCATGTTTCAGATGCAAACACACAACTAGATAATGTTACAGTCTGATATACAGACAGCACTCGCTGCAGCTGCTACCATTCACTGTAATTGACCTGAATGTACTGTGTCTGTGCCATGAAGTGATTATCTGTGTGAGCGTTAACGTGTGTGCTTGAGATGACAAACCCCTAAAATAAATGTACACAAACGTTTCACTCGCATGCTGACAGAAATTTGTATAATAATAATAATAATAATAATAATAATAATAACAGTCTTACAGCCAGTTTTTTTGAAAATACAAATGTGTTTATGGAAGCTTTTTTTTGTGAAAGTTTCACAGTATCAACGTGGTTCTCTTCCTGGCTTACTCAACAGTCACTGTACTGTGTAGCATCAGAGTCTCCAGCAGTTTGTAGCCAAGTTCCATTCTGGCTTTGTGCCGCAGAGATCTCTGACACACACGCACAGAGACACACACACACACCACATCACACAAAAGAAACAGCACACACAGACAGAACAAGACAAGACAAGCAACACAACACACACACAGCACACACAATGTACCTTTACATGAGGAACCACAAATGGCAAACATCCTCTGCCTTCATCCTCACCGTCATCATTTATACCAGTCTATTATTGCTTTCGTATACCTATATTCTTGTACACAACAAGTGAAGGAGAGGGGAAATGTATCGTCTCTTTAGTCTTGCAGGAAAGCAGTCCTGACTTGCAGCCCGGATAAAAATCACTATGTGCAATTTCCAAAACAAGTGTCAGTCTTCACAGGAAACAGTAAAAAAACAACTACTGGATTATCCTTAAACGTGATGTAAGGCAGCAGAAGATGAACAGACGGGCGTCCCTTCTCCAGACGTACGTATACATACAAAAAGTACTGCTTCCCTGTTTTTTCCTTTCAAGTCCTTTCAAGTCCACGTTAGTCTATACGTTAGAGACAGCGTTATTAGCATCTCGCGCCTGACGGATGCCATACAGCCACTTGATGACTCGAGCGTTCCTCTCGATGACGGAGATCCCATAAGGGACCCGTTCATTGGCTCTAGCTGGCCCGTCCTCATTGTCCTCATCTACTTCGTCTTCCCTCGGCCGGTCAGCCTCCGAGCTGGGCGTACTGACGCTGCGGAGCTTGGAGATGGACACGATGTCCGAGTTGGCTCTTGTGAAACACTCCACTCCACCCATGCCTTCCACCTCCTCCGGGTCCAGCCCGCAGTAGTTGAAGAATCGCTCCATATCCGCTGTGGCCCGGGAGTAACGGTCACTCAGGTCCGACTTGGAACGGTGCAAGGATGGGTGCTTGCGGGCGGACCCCTTGGAACTGGCGTTTGATATACGGGTGAAAGCGGGGGAGGCTGGAGGGATGATTCCCGCTCGGATCAACATGGGAAACCCTGGCGCGCGATCAGCATGGGACTGGGCGGCGGATAGGCTGGAGGTGGGGGCAGGGTTTGGGAGGGGTTTGTGAGCTGAGGAGGGGGTTGGTTTTGGTTCTGAGGAGGTGGAGGAGGTGGGACCTGGGGGTGTGCGACTTGGCCCTGGGCAGTCTGTCTGGGCCTGAGCTGGGGCTGCAGCTGGGACCTCTGAGGCTTCCGTATCACAGCCTGAGGCCGAACGTCCACCCTGCGCACCGTTACAGAGTTAGGGGAGCTATAGGGTGCTGGAACCCCAATGCGGGGTGTTCGTGCTGGAATAGGGGGCGGGCGGCGGGCGGGTTCTGCTGCAGGGGTCCGGAGGTTGTTGTTCAGTGGAGAGGAAGTGCAAGAGGATGTGGAAGAGGAGTTTATGGTGCTGTGATTTAATGGTTTGAGGTTGTTGAGGAGTCGGTTGCTCTTCTCCTGCTCTGCTGACAGACTACTGCCAATGCTCTTAGCTCCTGATGAAGGCGATGATGAAGAGGGGGAGGTGGAGGAAGAGGACTGGGAACATGGCATTGGTCCATCACATACATCATTGATAAGATTATTCAGAATATCCAAGTTAAGAGCGGGTCCTCTTCTCCTTACAGGTCCCTCTCTCCCACCTCCATTCTCCACATCTGCTGGGCAGCGGGGAACTTTGCGGGCCGGAGGAGTGCTGATCTGGCACTGGGGCATCATCCCCGGAGGAACAAGGGGCTTGCGGATGATTGGTGGTTTGATGGGGGCCTGGCGGGTTAGAGCCACCTGCTGGCTCTTTACATACTTGGCCTTGTCTGCTTCTAGACGTTCTACAGCACTCAGCTTACGGGCCCCGGGCTCAGCCTGACGACGGAAGTAGTCTGGACCCTTGTTAAGTATCCTGAAGGGCATGGCAGAGGTGAAGGGAACCCCGGCCAAACGGCCGTCTGATGGCCGCAGGGTCTCCACCGGCATACTGGAAGAGCTGACATTGAGAAAGGAAGATTTTCTGTTAGTCAAAAGGTTTTTAAAACAAACTGTGTACAGAGTAAAGACGAGCAAAGAGTGAATAAGAAAGAGTTGAGAGAAATTTTATTAAAGAATAATTGACTGTCCTCTATTTGTATCAAATGTGACAAAAGTGATTCTTATCAGCCAGAGCACTGTGGACAGGAGATACGAGTCAGAGACAAACAGAAGAACTGACAGAAGGAGAGGTGGGTGAGAGTGGGGCTTTAATGGTCAGTGAACATCCTTTTAGAGGTCCCACATGTCCTCTCTAAGCTTAAGAAAATAGCTCTTTTGTATTCTCTTTTCTTCCCACTCTCCTCCCCCCTCCTCCCTCCCAGAGCCCCCTAACTTCCTTACCGGTCGCTGTGCTGCTGCTCTCACTTCTCTCCTTTTCTTCCTCCTTTCTTCTCTGTCGCCCCTCTTGCTCTTTTATCCGTCCTTTTTCCCAGTCCGGGCTCAGAGAAAGGCTACTTGTGGGACAGGGTCAGTCGGGGTCAAATTCCACATCAGGCCCGGCCAGAACACCTCTATTAGCTCAGTGGTGACCCAGAAGGGGGCTAGGCTGCAGATCGGGGTCAGCGGTCAGCCACAGTGCAGCCGATGGAAGCTCTTTATCCAAATTGCAGGTCTGGAAGATCCGGCTGGCAATGATCCCCAGCAACACAACGGCCTTTATGATCCCCTTTGCGACCTCTGTCCAGCTCGTCTGTCAAGCCTGTCCGCCTGTCCAGCTGGGTTCTGACACAAAAAGCCGGCCGGCAACTCAGCTGGAGAGCCCCACAGTCCTGGAGAGGGTTAAAAAGAGATAGAAGTCCAAGTCAGATAATGGTACAACTCTCGGTTTTCTGTTTGCCTCTCATTAACAAAAGCACCCACACACACTGATACACACACACACACGCTCACACACACACACACACTTCTCCGGCTGACAGACAGGAACTCTCTTCAACACTGAAGTGGAGCAGACAGGACAGGCTTTAATACCTCGTCTGGCTCCTCCCAGCCGGCTAATCACATGGCAGGCTGGGAGCCTCAGTGGGGCACTGGGGGCGGGGAGGGAGGCGGGAGGCGCACTCGCATTGGTCCACCTCGAAAGGGATTCTGACCAATTGGACCCATCCCCCCTCCGAGCACAACAAAACACTGAGGCAGGGTTTTCATTCAAATGAAAATTCTTTGAAAGGGAGAAAGGGGGGAGAGAAAGAGAGAGGAGGACAACGGGCAAAACAGATGCAATTTTTTACATTGACTTGCATCAAGCTCAGCGGGGTGCTATGAAAACACTGTGAAAAAGACTGAAAGCCCACACAACTGTTCTTCTTGTTTAGCTCTTTGTCTTCATCACCGAGTAGAGACTGAAGTGTGTGAACAACAGAGACACAGTAAACAATAGAGGATTATCTTATTCCAAGTCTAAATGTGCTTTCATTTCATTTTAATTTCATGCAATGGAGTTAATGTTCAGTGTCTAAAAACCAGCCAAACAAGTGCAGCACTAGTTTCAGAGACAAAGAAACACACAGTAAAAGTTTCTTCTGTTCTGTTTCCACACCTTAGCACCAAATTACTTCAATACTTCAAAAGCAATGCTGACACACACAATGTTCATCTGTTTTCCTCTCTTTCTGCAAGCTCCTATTTTGTGGAAAAACAACCCTCCCCTGCTTCTTATCATTTACAACATTACTCTCAGGGTTACATCACACCCAGTACTGTTTCTCTCCTCACCTCCTCCTCCTCACCTCCACCTCCAACATATCTATCTGCACATTTTTAATTAGTCTTTTTATAGCCATCTTCCTTCCCGTCTCCCTCAACATGTGACCCTGTTTCCCTCACATCTACCCCTCTCTTTCTCTCATCCCTGAACAGCAGACCAGCGGCAGGGAGAAAGAGCAAAAGCGACCATGACAGCTTAGACTCTGAGACACACACACTTGCTTTTAGAGCTTGAATACCCACACACAGTCACAACTGCTTTCATCTTAACTATGTGACAAACCAAAGAAGAGTTTAAAATAGCCAGACACACATTTGCATCACAGAAAATAAAAAAATAAATGATTCACAAACAAGTGACCAAAAGCCTCTAGGCAAACCTCTAGGGAAAACATTTTATAGGAAAAGAAAGGAGGGATTGTTCAGTTAGTTTCAGTTACAGGACGACAGAAACCCACTAGATGAGACGCACACGAGATGATGACATCATAGTTGGGACTTTCAGCCTATCAAAAAGCTTAATGATCTTCAGAGGCAGACGCGCACACACACCTGTCTTCAAATTCTTGAGTTTTTATGAGTTAAGAGTACTCTATTGATTTGAATCAAATGTGAGAAAGCAGAACCAGATATTGTCTTTTTTATTCCATCCATGCTACTTTCTTGTCAAAACCAGGTGTCTGCGTTACCCACAATGCAACGTGACCACTGACAGTTTGGTCGGAGATTTGAGTGTGTTATGCTAGTATCAATCAAGCTTCCGGCGCCGGTCGAAGCCGGCAGCTGCTTGCAAAAAGCTCTTACTCGATCTCTCTTTTTTTCTCTATTTATTTCACTTTTTGCGGAAATTACTTTGTATATACTTTTTAAGACAGCACCGCACTTTTGTTGTTATTGGGAGTCTCTATTTTTGACAATATCCAGACCGGCCGGTGTAACAATGCACGAAGCGGCTCGCGTGTGCTTTGTTTACAGGAGGGAACAGCTGACCTGTAGTGTCCCCTCGGGACAGACACGAGATCCCCCCG